AGACTCAGGATCTTGAGCTTACTTGTGAGGCAGGCATGGTCCCACTGAGCTAAACCCCCAGCCTTATGTTATTTGATTTCTTGATGATAGCCATTTTTCTAGAGTAAGAGGGAACCTTAGTGTTGTTTTAATTTGGATTTCTTTGATGGCCAGAGATACTAAACTTTTTTTTTTTTGGTACTGGGGATCGAACTTAGGACCTTGAGCTTGCCAGGCAGGCACAGCACCACTGAGCTACATCCCTGGCCCAATTGAACATTTTTTTCATTTATTTCTTGGGCATTTGTACTTCTTTTAACATTCATGTCAGTTGCCTATCTTTTCATTGGGTCTTTTATTTGGGGGGGGGTGCAGTTCTTTATTCTAAATATTAGTCTTCCGTCTGAAGAATTGTTGGCAAATTTGTTTCCCATTCTATAGGTTGTTTCTTCACTCTGTTGGTTCTTTCCTTTGCTGTTCAGATTCTAGTAGCTTTTGAGTCCAGCATTCTGGCTGTACACCCTCAACAGATTGTATTCAGTGGATAAAAAGAACTACAAAGTAGTCTTGTACTTTATTCAGCATATTTGTTGCTGCTAGTGGTATTGGCATTTGTTGTAGCCCATTCAGATTTAGACTTTGTAAAGTATCACGTATTAGATGTCTCATAAACAACAGAACTTTATTGCTCACAGTTTTGGAGGCTGAGGAACTTAAGATCAAAGATCAAAGTGCCAGCAGATTTCATATCTGATGAGGCCCTCTCCCTGATGCAGAGATGGCCCTCTTGTCCTTGTTTCCTCAATAGTAAATGGCAAAATAGAGCTCTCTTTTATAAGGCATTAATCCCACTCATAGGGGCTCCACTCTCATGACCTAATCACCATTAAAGGCTCCACCTTCAAATATCATTACATTTGGAATTAGCTTTCAATATAGGAATGTAGAGGGACACATTTAGTTTCTAGTAGTGTTCAAATTCCAAATTCCAATTTTGTATGCAATAGGGGATTATGAAAATTAGTCAATATATTGATGCTCTTAGGAAACAAAGTTCAAACTGTGAGATAAAGGTAACACAAATATGGAAAGTCAGAAAGATAGAATCCTGTGGTCATTGAATTTAGAAGTCTGTCCACAAGGCTGCATTGAAGTGTCAGTCTTATTTATTCTTCATAATCTTCATTTCCTGTTCTTCTATTTCTGAAGTTTCTATTTCAGCCTTCAAAGGAAATACCTTTTCTTGTAGTATAATAGTAATATAAACAAATTATTTCCTTGAGTTGCATGATGTGAGGTCACTGCTATGAGGGAAAATGAGGTTAGAGGTTTTAGTAGAACGTCTGGAAATATCTTTCTGGCTTTATTATTCAAGGATTTAACAGGGTTAGGTTTGGGTAACTTCCTGGAAATTGACCCTAGAACTCAAAAAAATTCTTTTGATTTTCAGATTGAATTCTATCAGGTTTTGTTGCCATTTTTCTTTACGTTTAGTTCCCATATTGATTACTTAGCTATATTTCCTACGCTCCATAATTCAATAAAACTTTCTTGCCTCAGCTTTGATGGATCTAGGACTTGGAGGTTTGTATAAAGAATATCTGTGATTCCTACCTTGGTGTAACCACTGGTGAGAAGGAGGGTAAAGTGGGGTAGGAGCTAACATCATTTCTATGTTGTCATTGTTGTTCGCTCATTTCTAATCATGGTATCAGTATTAATTATATTCAATTTTTACTACATTTGCCCTTGTTTTATAATTTTCATCACTGCTTTTATTATTTCTTCCAGAGTAGATTTCTCAAGAGTAATGAATAGATTAACGAATGCTTGTCTGAGGGACTAATTGGCAATAGGGATTGAGGGGAGAAATCAACTTTACAATCTACAGGACCAGGAGAATATTAATACAACTATCCTGAGGGGATGATACTGTTCTATCTAATAATACTACTTTTCTGGGAAAGAGTATAATTTTTGCTAGAGTTGGTGTGCACTAGAGCTGATTGTTAAATTTTCAAAAATTGTATAAGCCGATTGTTAACCTCAGGATTATATTGTATAAACTTACATCCAAATAAATTTATTTATTTATTTAATGATACTGGAGATTGAACTCAGGGCCTTTGCACTGAGTTATACCCTCAGTGCTTTTATTTTTTAGTATATTTTTTTTGAGACAAGTTCTTGCTAAGTTGCTGATTTGCCCAGGATGGGCTCAAACTTTTGATCCTCTTGTGTACCCCTCCTACAGTGCTGGGATAGCAGATGTGTAACACCATGCTAGGCTTAGGTTATATTTTTTAAAAGTAATAAATCTGAGAATTCATCACTTCCTAATTGATTATGCTTTGCTCCTATCTCTGCTCTTGTCATATATCTGTTGTATGTGTATGGTATAATGAATGGCTTGCGTGTTTTTCTCTTCCCAATTCTGCATTCAGTGATGTCACACCAGGAATTTAATCAGCCATAGTAGGAGCATTTACATCATGGAATTGTCAAACACTACAAATTAGGCCTTAGTTTTTTGTTTATTATCTGAGCTTGGGAAGGTGATGGAATATGCTGATGAGTGCTTAAAAGCTTGTCACGTCTGTATCATTACACTGAAAAACAATGCAATTGAAAAAATATGTTCCTGGTATTTGAAATCTAATATCCAGTTCAGTGAGGGAGTCAGGTCAATAAGAGTTCTGACATATGCTTTCATTGTTTCATCTGTGCCTTACCTATTTAGGTAAATGAAATGTCAAGCAGCATTTTTGTCAGAACTATATTTATCCACCAGTCGCAACCATCGATAGGCTACAGACAAATTTAACACAAATCTTTGAAACATACTTTGAGAATCAAATGGGTATCTGAAAATTACAGTAAAGCATTATATATTTTATTATTACTTATAAATTATTTGCTAGGCAATCATTATATATGTAAAATTTATAACATACATACCTACACACTTTTTTTTTCCAGCACTGAAGATTGAACCCAGGGCTTTTCCACTGAGCTACATTCTCAGCCCTTTAAAAAAAATTTTTTTAAATTTTGAGACAAGGTCTCAATAAGTCACGAAGTTGCCCACAGGCTGGGCTTGAATCCTTCTGTCTCAGCCTACTAGAGTGCTGGAATTACAGTTCTATATCACCATACCTAGTATATGCAAACATTTACCCCAGAAAGCTGATTGTTTAATAATTATTAGCATCACTGGTGGAAATCAGGCATAATATGCTGTTATTAAAATACTGTTATTCTTTTAAATATGATCTAGATTGTGCTGAGAATTAATGCTTGTCTTGAGATGTATACATGTGTGTCTGAGTCAGTGGTTAACTGCAGCCAGGGAAGATGTTAATACCCTTCACCACCAGCTAACCATGGTATCAGTGAACCTGCATTACTCCTGGAGAAAGGGAGAGCCTGGTGCCAGTTTGTAGGCAAGTTGAAAGGAGCCTGGTGCTAGGCTATAAAAGGTTGTAGAGAAGCTGAAAGGAGTAATTTAGATAAAATAGGCAAAGGGAAGCTCAATCTCAAATGCAGACCTGGGCTGTTATACTCTCACTCGCTGTGGCTGAGGTAGGAGAACCAAGGCATAGCGACATGAACACAGCCGATTCTGCATTGCAAGGTCACCCCCTCCACCCCCATCCCTGCTCCCAGGCCCTCAGGTGATACTTGCTTCCTAGGGAGGAAGAAGGTTTCAGGAAGCAGAAACCCATGGGAGATGAAGAATTGAGTGGGAATAAGCACACTGTGGGAGGAAGAAGGGTTTGAGTAGGATGAAAATAACTTGGAAGACAAAGTTCTGCAGGAGCCAATGATGCGCAACAGTTTGCTCCTTCTAGAATCTTCTTTCCATTGTCACCAGGAAGCTGGGTCCTGATGCAGAGAGGAACAGGCCCCTCACTTACTAGTCCTCAGTTCTTCCTGCCCTTGATGAAAGATCTCAGTCAAGGCATATAGGCAGCTGTGCAGAAGAAGTATAGGCAGAATTTATTGTAAAGCAGATATAGAGTTAAACCTAAGAGAGAGACAGAGAGAGAGAGAGAGAGAGAGAGAGAGAGAGAGAGAGAGGCACACTTCCTCAACAGGATCTGCACCAAGTGAGAGTCTGGATAACTTTTTATGTACATAAAAAATTACTTCTGGGGTTCAAGGAACTATGACAGTTATGATGCTTATGGACATTTCTCTTAGGGGTTACTTTGGAATGTCCGTGTCTCAAAAGTGTCTTTATTATTCCTTTAAGGGCCGGGGATTTAGCTCAGTGGTTCTGCTGCCTGCCTCGCAGGTGCAAGGTCCTGAGTTCGATCCCTGGTACCAAAAAAACTCCCCCAAAACAAGACATATTATTCCTTTTACACCATCAGTATTCCCTCAGAATCTAAATCAGTTCTCAGCCCCAGGTGGGAGGATCTTCAAAGAACGCTCCCCTTTCTCATATCACTGGGTATGGGCCATGACACGGAATGTGATGTGCCTTGTCATGGAGAGAGACGACCAGGCAGCCAGGTGTGTCTGAAGGGCTGTGCAGTGTATAACCTGAGCAAGTCCCTGTGCTCCGTGGGATCGCTTTGCATCTGAGACCTGATGAATGGCTGTAAGTGTATTATACGTTGAAGTCTTTGCTTCTTTACCTGTAGCCCGGAAAACATGCTATTTTGACCCCTCCCTCGTCCATCAGGCCTGATAAGGTCCAACAAGCAACCTAACATCGTGGCTTTCAAGACTCCATCCTGCTCCTCTCATGGCTCCTTACCAGTCCATCCAGGAATGATAAGCAAAGCTCGAGTGGCGAGGCACCTTGCTGATAAATAAATCTTTAAAAGCAATCCAAAATGGCCAGCTAAAATGTCATTTCTTATAACATATGGATGTGAGGATAAAGAAACCACTTGCCCAGTATTGAACCCCCAAACTTGGAGGTGGGGATTGCTGATTTTTGTTGTGGTTTGAAGTGAGACAGAGGGGTCACCCTGGGAGAGTCCCCACTGTTTGGCCGGGCTTTGACCTACCCTGTTGTGTCCTCTCCACTCGCTCCTTCTGCGGTCCAGGGTGGTTTGGGGATCAGATGCTGAGCGCCCCCTGGAGGTAGAAAGCTGAAATCAGTGGGATGCTGTTCAGCGGTTATTGTATGCGGTGTGATCATCAGGCAGATATTTAAATTAAAAATAATTACAGTAAAAGACACAGTTTCATTAAGTCCCCTCAAAATACTCCCCCCACTTCGACCACACATCCCATTGTTCATCCTGCTTACTGAGGCAGTTCCCGAAGTCCTCTTTTGTGAGTGGCTTTACCAGGTGTGATAAAAAAAAATACAGTGAATGCTGCTGGAGGTGTCACCCCATGGAAATGCAAGCTCGCTGTGTCCTCATCTATATTATTCACCGGATGTGGCACCGTGTGACTTCTGGCTCTTCCTCAAAGTCAAAATGATCACGAAAGGTAAATGTTTCAAATCAATTCAGGACATCAAGGTAGCCACTACCTGATGACACTCATGAAAATTGGACTTGCAGAACTGCTTCAGAAAATGACAAGATTGATGGGATAAGTGTGTTTGAAGCACAGGGGTGTTTTACAAGGGAAATTAATGGCAATATATCTTTTACTGCAGTACATTTTTAAAAAAATTTAAATATTCACTGTTTTTCAATCACACCTCGTAGATCAGAAGTAAAAGCCCAGGAAGCTGTCTTTGGCCCAACTCTGGTTCTCTTCATCCTGCTATTTAGCTTCACCGTGACCAAGAGGCAACGTACAATGTGCTTCTTTGCAGAGGGGAGCAGCTCTGGTTTGGAGGGTCCTCAGAGACCTCACCCCTCATCCACAGACTTGGAATCTCTTGGGTGAGAACTCCCAGGCCTCCCCATCAACATGCACTGAGAAGGACCTGCTGCCTGCACTCCCCTGCCTTGCTGCTGGTGCCCAGGGGAAGGTGTTTGGCTCCTAATGGCACCTTCTCCCCTATCAGTGTCTTTAACCTTCCCTTCTTCTGCCAACTTATAGACATGCCTAAGAGTTTTCTATCTTACAAATATTTAAAATGGAGAAAGTAAAAAATAACACCTCCCTGGGATCCTATAGCTACCTAGCTACTGCCCTGCTCCTTCCTCCTCACAGTCATACTTCTGGAGAGAGCTGGCTGCCCTTTCAGGCCTCAGGCTGCTGCCAGCTCCCTCCAGGGCTCCCTCACCAGGAAAGCAGGCTGGCAGCCCACAGTGGGGTGACAGACACTGCTGTCTGACTCCTCCCTCTGCCTGGAAACACTCTTTTCACGGTGGAGGACACACATTCTCAGCTTCTCTTCCACCTCTCTGGCCACCCCACATGCTGCCCATCGAAGATGAAACCACTTTTCAGCTACCTGCTCAGGCCATCCATTGAAGACCAAAGGGTTATCTTCGAGCTTTTTCTTCTCTCCAGGCTCCACAAGCCCTGCCTTCACTATCCGAGAGCAATCCAGTAGCTGCCAGGATGGCTTCCCCTCCTCTGCTCCAGCCACCAGCAGCCAAAGGGACCGCGGACCCCCTTCTCAACCCTGTAAAGCCACCCTGGATCCTTCTAGGGCCAGGTGCCTGTCCTGCTCACTTGTTCTGCGACACCTGAATATTCGTTCTCAGAGTCATAACCCCTGTGTCCCCACGGCTGCTGAGCTCAGCGAGGGCAGGGACTGTGTCTTTCCACATGGCACCTCGTAAACACTGCACAACATCTGGGAGGGTGTCGTTTCTCCCACGCTTCTAGACATATAATACTGACAGATCAGGAAGCAAATTTAAAAGAAGGAAAGCGAGGTAAAATTCTAAGTACAATGACTGTTGAAAGTAGTTTCAAAATGAATGTCCCAAGAGGATCCCAGTTTGCTAGCCATTTCATTTCCTTGTAAAATGTCAGCGCGTGGCATTCAGACATGAACCAATCTGTGTGCGTCCGCCGCCGTCCAGTGACCCGGGGCTGCAGGTGCGGTGAGCGGCCGGCGCGGGCTGGGGACCTCGCAGGGCGCAGGTGGAGGGGACCCGAGGCCCGAGTGGCTAGCGCCGAGGTCCATTGTCTTTGCCGTGGCCGAAGAAGAGGGTGTGGACTTGGGGAGGGGGCGTCTCCAATCCTGGGGTGGCTCAGCTGAAGTCAGAAACTCGGGCCGGGCGGGGTTTTCTAGGAAACGAAAGCGAAAGAGCGAAGTTAACTTGCTGGAGTAGCGCCGGCTGCGCAGTCAGGGGACAGCGGCGCACAGGGATGGCTGCGCCCCGCTCCTTCCCGCTGCTGGTCGAGGGGTCCTGGGGCCCTGACCCTCCCAAGAACCTCAGCACCAAGCTGCAGTTGTACTTCCAGAGCCCCAAGCGGTCCGGCGGCGGGGGGGAGTGTGAGGTCCGCAGGGATCCGGAGAACCCGGCGCGCTTCCTGGTGCTCTTCTCCGAGGACGGTGAGGGGCGCGGGGAGGGCAGGAGGGGGCGACCCACTCTTTCTCCGGAGGAGATCGGGGTCCGCCCGGCGCCAGCGGAGGCGGTCCCGGGGTGGGGGGCAGGAAGGACTAGGGGCCAGGAAGAACTAGGGCGCACAGGGCCGGCGGTGCCTCCGCGCTGAGCCTCAGGCGCGTTCCGGCCGGGCCGCAGGTCCGAGCAGAAATGGGCGAGCGAGTCTTCCTGTCCTTCTCATCCTTTTTTGTTTTTCCCTGCTGCTGCTGCTGCTGCTGCTGCTGCTGCTGCTGTTGCTGTTGCTGTTGTTGTTGGGACACTAAGAAAAATGAGGACTCCCAATAGTCCTCACGGGTCTCGGAGACTCCCTGTGCTTCTAGACGCAGCCCTGGGTCGCTTAGAGGGGGGCAGTGGTGCTGCCAAAGTCACCTGGCGGGGTGTAAATACGCAGCCTTCGCAGTGGTCTGAGCTTGGAGGGGAAGCTGGACCCCACAGATCAACAACGTAGGGCCCGGGTCGAGCCCGCTGCTGCCTCTTCCCCTCTCAGGGTGGCTCGTAACCGGCAGAGCATCTGAGGTGATGCTGGGCTGGAGAATTTCCTCCTCTCGGGCCTGAGCGGCTGAGCTCTCCCCGCCTTCCCAACTTTGCTCCTACTCGGGAGGGGAGGCAGGGCGCACAGATTGCGCCCTCACTGCACCCACAGGGTCTGAGCCCTCAGGATGCAGACAAACCAATCCGCCTTGCTGGCCGTCACTGGGCGGGGAGACGCAGGGAGGCTTAGGAGGCCTTGCGGTTGGGTTGGGAAGACTGGAATGGTCCAGCAGTTGTCCAACCAGGGGATGTGGCACAGAAAGAGAAGGTCACACAGGTATGTGTGACGGGGGGAAGAGGGAAGAGGATAAGAGACCCCGTATTTCTGGAAAACTAGGGAAAGTGTCGACCGAGGATGCCCTTCACGGAGTGTCCAGTAGGCTGGCTGGGTAGCCAAGTCACTGCCCAGGCTGTCTCTTGCCCAATTCGATTCCGACTGTCGACACCAGGATCCTAGCGGCCCTAAGGGATTCCTTTCTTAGGATCCCACCAGCCTCAGGAATGGCGCTCAGACTGTGGGCACAGACCACCTGCGTGAATCCCCTGGAGAGCAGCTTAGCCAGGGACCTCGGTGGCTCCTAGAGAGATTCCCACAGTAAGTGTGGGTGGGAACCAGCCCCTCAAGTGACCTAAGCGCCTGAACTTGGAGAATCTCTGTGGTCTGTTAAAAACACCAAATGGATAAAAATGGAAATAATTATACAAAATAGCAGCCTAAGAGTACAGACAATACAAAATATAATTTTGTGATGATAAAAGAACTCAACTGTAGCCCTCAAAGGGTTGCAGACTTCCAATTAGGCTTGCGTTCTTCACAGCTGCCAGCCTACCACCCCTCTTCCTCCACCTCGGCCTGTTCCAGTGGTCCCCTTTCTCTTACTCCTCAGCACAAGTAACTCAAAACCTGATACTGTTCTTAGGGGGTGGAAAACCCCGTTTCAGTTTCAGTTTCCTTCTTGGGAACCATTTTCTCACTTAGAGAGTCCTCAAGAATTTGCTGACAGTGAATAGCCTCTCGTGGCAGTCCTACCCAGCATGGCTTTCCCGGAAAGAGAGTGCCCTCCACCCTCCATGCCAGGAAGTGGCCTGTCAACAGGTGTAGGCTCACGATGTAACATGACTTCATTCAGAAATGAGCCTACCAGCACTCCTCTGTGGAAACTGGCATTAGCAAGTAGGAATGAATAGGAAGTGATATTTGGCTTTTATAGAGTGAACTGGATTTCTGAAAAGTGGATTATTCCCCTAACTCCTCCTCCTCCTCCCGTCCTCCTCTTCCTCCTCATCTTTTTTTTTGGTACCAGGGATCAAACTCGGTCCTTGAGCTTGTGCAGCAGGCGACGAAACCACTGAGCTAAATCCCCGGCCCCCCTCCTCTTCTCTTTTTCTGTGCTGGGAATGGAATCCAGGGCCTCACACGTGTTGGTCAAGTGGTCTTGCACTGAGGTATACCATCAGCCCCTGGCCTAACATTTTAAACCCTATTTCAGATGTATACATTTTGTCATGCTTTCTGGTCATAATTTGGCTCATGCTTATTGTCAGACACTGTGGGGTAAGGAAACTCATCTATTTAAATTAAATTAAACATAGATGATCTGAGGTTGATGCAGGAGGGAAACTGTGTGGGCAAGGGAAGTTGGACATCAACATTTCTGCTCTTTGCCCTCCCAGCTTCACCTCCTCCTTGTTAGGTGGGGATCATACATTGATATTATTACCTTTGCTCTCCTGAAATGCTTGTGTCTGTACATAGTGCATACAATTAGAGAAAAGCCTGGCACGTTTAGAAGCCTAAACAGGACTGTCAAAGTGTCTTAGTCACTTTTCTGTCAGTGGACAAAATACCCAAACTCCAATTTAAAGGAGGAGAGGCTTATTTTGGCTTATGGTTTCAGTCTGTGATCAACTTGCTCCAAGGCAGAAACAGATGGCAGAGGGGCATGGTGGAGGGGAGGGTGCTCAGTCCTGGGCAGCCAGGGAGCAGAAGGAGAAGAGAGGAGCTGGAGGAGATCTACCCTCCAGGTCATGGCCCCAGTGACCCACCTCTTCCCACCAGGGCCCACCTCCTGACAGCACATTTAGCTGTAGGTTCATCAATGAATTAATAAATTAATTATAGTATGTGTCCCCATGATCCCACACGTGAAAATGTAGGGGGATATTTTAGATCTAAACCATAACACAAAGTCTGGGAAATAAAATGAATGCAACCCAAAGGAGCATGCGGTCAGATCATGTGGCTTATAAAACAGCTTGTTTGTGGGCTTCAGGGCTCCCAGCCAGTCCTCAGGCTGCAGTCCAGCTCAGCATAGGCCCTCAGGAGTTCATGTAGAAATATCTGCCCTGCCCTTAAAGAATGAAGTTATTGTCTGGCATTCCTTCCCAGGCTGTTTCCGAGGCCTGTTTCTGAGTGGGTATCCAGGTGAGGTTCCCAGCTGGACCAGAATGGGAAAGTGATCATCCCTCTCTTTATGACAGACTCTGACATTGTCAGGCCGGCCCACCAGTGCACAACAATGACACCCAATACTCTTGTCAGAGCTGCAGCCGTGTATTCTGGGGTACTGGCAAACATCACTTTCTCCTCAACCTCTGTAGCATCTGACTATGCTGACCATGCCTCCTCCCTTAACTCACTCCTTTCCTTTTCTCCAGGGTCTGAGATACACTGATTTTTCTTTTTTCTCCCTGGCTTCTCCTTCTGATAATTTCAACTCACATTTGCATTACTCTTGATGGTATTGCAGAAAGCATTCCTAGACTTTCCCCACTTTGAGTGGAGAAACAGATTCCAGAAAAGTTAAACCATTTCCTTACAGTCGCTCAGCTACTTTGTGGCAGAGTTGAAGGCCAAATTCAAGTCTTTGGACTCTTCTGTCCACTGTTCGGTTTGTTCACTGTTGCCCGGCTTCCTCATGTGCTAGTTATGTATTTTTTTGCCAGTCTCACGCTTCCTTTCTTTTATACTCCCGTAATTATCAGAGTTGAGGCCCTTACCATTATAGACTAACAAATGGGCTTTCTTTTTTTTTTTTTTTTGGTACTGTGGATTGAACTCGGAACCTTGTACTTGTGCGGCAAGTGCTGGAACTACTGAGCTAAATCCCCAGCCCCACAAATGGGTTTTCAACCTAGGCTCCTGGCCATTTTGCTCATGGCCACCTGAATCCTTTCTGAAAATGTGGCTTTCATCATGTCATGTCCCAGCACCCAGCCTGCCCTGGCTCTGCATGAGGGTTGCTTTAATTACTTCATGTCAGTGTAGAATGAATATTATTACCTTTTTGAGTGGCTGCCTGATAGGTACTATACCAAGTTCTTTATAATTTTTCTTCAGTTTAATCTGAATGGGTACAAAACAATCTCCATTAACCTCATTAATAGATAAGAAGCCTGAGGTTTTTGTACAAAGGCTTATTAAGGAAAATGCTAAATGTGTTTGTTAGTCAACTTACCATTACTGTGACAAAATACCTGAGATAAGCAACTTTAA